ATCTTCTTTATCATGGTATCATCGCTTTCTACCTTCTTCCTTTTATTACTTACGTCTTCGTCGGTTTCACTCCTCATCCTCCTCCTTCTTCGTGTTTTTTATCGTCCTGGTCTAAATCTTCCTGTTGTTCATCATGATCCTCTAACTCTGCACAACTATCACGGTTTAAGCACAAAACTGAGAAACGAACAAAAACAAACGTGCAAGGGAAGACAGAAAGTGAGTGACAAAGAAAGCATTTAAATAAAGCAGAGAAAGAGATTCGAGAAAGGGTGTAGGGAAATAGAGAAGAACTAACTTGGAAATTCATCTAGGAATGTGGAAACATTATTGACTAGAAAATTAGCGTCAACTTAAAATAAATAAATAAAAGAAATATTTACAACAACACGTGCACTATCCACAGACGGTAGACACAGGAAGGGAAGGAGCTTTCGAAGTGGAAGAAGGTTTCTTTTGTGGGTCATGACATTCGATGTGAAACTTTTAGACAAATCGTAGAAGTCTGAAGGTAAATGCCAGACAAACATGTGCTGTAAATATAGTTTATGAAAGCAAACAATGTTTTCTGGTAAACATTTATAAGTGTGTACGTTGCTGTTGTTAGTAAATTGGATAGGGTTGTTACTGACTGTGTGTGTTGATGCTGTTATTGGTGAACTGGGTAGGGTTGTTACTGACTGTGTGTGTTGATGCTGTTATTGGTGAACTGAATAGGGTTGTTACTGACTGTGTGTGTTGATGCTGTTATTGGTGAACTGGGTAGGGTTGTTACTGACTGTGTGTGTTGATGCTGTTATTGGTTAACTGGATAGGGTTGTTACTGACTGTGTGTTTTGATGCTGTTATTAGTGAACTGGATAGGGTTGTTACTGACTGTGTGTGTTGATGCTGTTATTGGTGAACTGGGTAGGGTTGTTACTGACTGTGTGTGTTGATGCTGTTATTGGTTAACTGGATAGGGTTGTTACTGACTGTGTGTTTTGATGCTGTTATTAGTGAACTGGATAGGGTTGTTACTGACTGTGTGTGTTGATGCTGTTATTGGTGAACTGGGTAGGGTTGTTACTGACTGTGTGTGTTGATGCTGTTATTGGTGAACTGGGTAGGGTTGTTACTGAGTGTGTTGATGCTGTTATTGGTCAACTGGATAGGGTTGTTACTGACTGTGTGTGTTGATGCTGTTATTGGTTAACTAGATAGGGTTGTAACTGACTGTGTGTGTTGATGCTGTTATTAGTAAAATGGATAGGGTTGTATCTGACTGTGTGTGTTGATGCTGTTATTGGTGAACTGGATAGGGTTGTTACTGACTGTGTGTGTTGATGCTGTTATTGCTTAACTGGATAGGGTTGTAACTGACTGTGTGTGTTAATGCTGTTATTAGTTAAATGGATAGGGTTGTATCTGACTGTGTGTGTTGATGCTGTTATTGGTGAACTGGATAGGGTTGTTACTGACTGTGTGTGTTGATGCTGTAATTGGTTAACTGGATAGGGTTGTAACTGACTGTGTGTGATGATGCTGTTATTGGTGAACTGGATAGGGTTGTTCCTGACTGTGTGTGTTGATGCTGTTATTAGTTAAATGGATAGGGTTGTAACTGACTGTGTGTGTTGATGCTGTTATTAGTAAAATGGATAGGGTTGTATCTGACTGTGTGTGTTGATGCTGTTATTGGTGAAATGGATAGGGTTGTAACTGACTGTGTGTGTTGATGCTGTTATTAGTTAAATGGATAGGGTTGTAACTGACTGTGTGTGTTGATGCTGTTATTAGTAAAATGGATAGGGTTGTATCTGACTGTGTGTGTTGATGCTGTTATTGGTGAACTGGATAGGGTTGTTACTGACTGTGTGTGTTGATGCTGTTATTGCTTAACTGGATAGGGTTGTAACTAACTGTGTGTGTTGATGCTGTTATTAGTTAAATGGATAGGGTTGTATCTGACTTTGTGTGTTGATGCTGTTATTGGTGAACTGGATATGGTTGTAACTGACTGTGTGTGTTGATGCTGTTATTAGTTAAATGGATAGGGTTGTATCTGACTGTGTGTGTTGATGCTGTTATTGGTGAAATGGATAGGGTTGTTACTGGCTGTGTGTGTTGATGCTGTTATTGGTGAACTGGATAGGGTTGTTACTGACTGTGTGTGTTGATGCTGTTATTGGTGAACTGGATAGGGTTGTTACTGACTGTGTGTGTTGATGCTGTTATTGGTGAACTGGATAGGGTTGTTACTGGCTGTGTGTGTTGATGCTGTTATTGGTGAAATGGATAGGGTTGTAACTGACTGTGTGTGTTGATGCTGTTATTAGTTAAATGGATAGGGTTGTTACTGACTGTGTGTGTTGATGCTGTTATTAGTTAAATGGATAGGGTTGTTACTGACTGTGTGTGTTGATGCTGTTATTGGTGAACTGGATAGGGTTGTTACTGACTGTGTGTGTTGATGCTGTTATTGGTGAACTGGATAGGGTTGTTACTGACTGTGTGTGTTGATGCTGTTATTAGTTAAATGGATAGGGTTGTTACTGACTGTGTGTGTTGATGCTGTTATTAGTTAAATGGATAGGGTTGTTACTGACTGTGTGTGTTGATGCTGTTATTGGTTAACTGGATAGGGTTGTTACTGACTGTGTGTGTTGATGCTGTTATTGGTGAACTGGGTAGGGTTGTTACTGACTGTGTGTGTTGATGCTGTTATTAGTTAAATGGATAGGGTTGTAACTGACTGTGTGTGTTGATGCTGTTATTAGTTAAATGGATAGGGTTGTTACTGACTGTGTGTGTTGATGCTGTTATTGGTGAACTGGGTAGGGTTGTTACTGACTGTGTGTGTTGATGCTGTTATTAGTTAAATGGATAGGGTTGTTACTGACTGTGTGTGTTGATGCTGTTATTGGTGAACTGGGTAGGGTTGTTACTGACTGTGTGTGTTGATGCTGTTATTGGTGAACTGGGTAGGGTTGTTACTGACTGTGTGTGTTGATGCTGTTATTAGTTAAATGGATAGGGTTGTAACTGACTGTGTGTGTTGATGCTGTTATTAGTTAAATGGATAGGGTTGTTACTGACTGTGTGTGTTGATGCTGTTATTGGTGAACTGGGTAGGGTTGTTACTGACTGTGTGTGTTGATGCTGTTATTAGTTAAATGGATAGGGTTGTTACTGACTGTGTGTGTTGATGCTGTTATTGGTGAACTGGGTAGGGTTGTTACTGACTGTGTGTGTTGATGCTGTTATTGGTGAACTGGGTAGGGTTGTTACTGACTGTGTGTGTTGATGCTGTTATTAGTTAAATGGATAGGGTTGTTACTGACTGTGTGTGTTGATGCTGTTATTGGTGAACTGGGTAGGGTTGTTACTGACTGTGTGTGTTGATGCTGTTATTGCTTAACTGGATAGGGTTGTAACTGACTGTGTGTGTTGATGCTGTTATTGGTGAACTGGGTAGGGTTGTAACTGACTGTGTGTGTTGATGCTGTTATTGGTGAACTGGGTAGGGTTGTTACTGGCTGTGTGTGTTGATGCTGTTATTGGTTAACTGGATAGGGTTGTTACTGACTGTGTGTGTTGATGCTGTTATTGGTGAACTGGGTAGGGTTGTTACTGACTGTGTGTGTTGATGCTGTTATTGCTTAACTGGATAGGGTTGTAACTGACTGTGTGTGTTGATGCTGTTTTTGGTTAACTGGATAGGGTTGTTACTGACCGTTTGTGTTGATGCTGTTATTAGTTAACTGGATAGGGTTGTTACTGACCGTTTGTGTTGATGCTGTTATTATTTAACTGGATAGGGTTGTTACTGACCGTTTGTGTTGATGCTGTTATTAGTTAACTGGATAGGGTTGTTACTGACCGTTTGTGTTGATGCTGTTATTGGTTAACTGGATAGGGTTGTTACTGACCGTTTGTGTTGATGCTGTTATTAGTTAACTGGATAGGGTTGTTACTGACCGTTTGTGTTGATGCTGTTATTAGTTAACTGGATAGGGTTGTAACTGACTGTGTGTGTTGATGCTGTTATTACATTTAAAAGACAAGTTACTTGTGGTTATTGTAGATGTCCAGATGTTTTCTTGGAAGCAGTGACTTCTAGCAAGTATACATGTGTGTGTACGTGATGGGTGTCTGTGTGTGTGTGAGTGTGCTTTTGAACAAATAATAGCATGAAATAAAGCGAAACAAGGTGAAAACGAAAGTGTTGTGTCAGGGTGATAAAGAGGAAAGAAAGAACGTGAGAGTCTGTGTTTGTGTTTGGTAAGAGAGAGAGAGATAGAGAGAGAGAAAGAGAGAGAGAGGGAACTAAGGAGAGAAGCAGCGAAGTCGGCTAAGCGACATTGTGGGCGTATGTGTGACTATGTGTATGTGTGTGTCCGTGCGCGCGCACGTGTGTGTGTGTGAGTGTGTGTGTTTGCGCGTGTTTGTGTTTGATAAAATGAAGTCATGTTGGTGGCTCGGGTCAGGGACGCAAGAGTGCATGTTGTGAGTGTAGCAGAGAGACATAGCGAACAGAAGTGCGCATTTGTGAGGGATGGGGGGGGGGGAACAAGAGAAAGAAAGTGAGAGGTAAAAAAGAGAAAGAGAGAGAGAGAGAGAGAGAGAGAGAGAGAGAGAGAGAGAGAGAGAGAGAGAGGGAAGAGAGAAAGAGAGAAGGAGGGAGGGAGATAAAGAAAATCTATAACTCTGTTAAAAGAAAATGTTGTCCGTCACCATAAACATCACTTATCTACAACCACGAAAAGCAAACACATGGAGCGTGCCAGAAAACCTGGATGTCTGCATCTCTGTCTGCATGCTTGTCTAAACGTCAGACACTTTGATATCTCTTCAGCGAGTTGTGCTGGTGAAGCAACCGACTCAACAACGTCACAGTCAGACAGTTTTTGTGTGCAGAGCTTCTTGTTTTCCACTTTCTTGCAAAACTCATTAGAATATAAATTCCGCAATGGAACAGGCGCAATAGGAAGACAAGTTCTGGGCACCTGATCTACTACCGTCTTCTTTCTTTTTCTTTCTTTCTTTCTTTCTTTCTTTCTTTCTTTCTTTCTTTCTTTCTTTCTTTCTTTCTTTCTTTCTTTCTTTCTTTCTTTCTTTCTTTCTTTCTTTCTTTCTTTCTTTCTTTCTTTCTTTCTTTCTTTCTTTCTTTCTTTCTTTCTTTCTTTCTTTCTTTCTTTCTTTCTTTCTTTCTTTCTTTCTTTCTTTCTTCTTCTTCTTTCTTCTTCTTCTTCTTCTTCTTCTTCTTCTTCTTCTTCTTCTTCTTCTTCTTCTTCTTCTTCTTCTTCTTCTTCTTCTTCTTCTTCTTCTTCTTCTTCTTCTTCTTCCTTCTCTCCTCCTTCTTCTTCTTCTTCTTCTTCTTCTTCTTCTTCTTCTTCTTCTTCTTCTTCTTCTTCTTCTTCTTCTTCTTCTTCTTCTTCTTCTTCTTCTTCTTCTTCTTCTTCTTTTCTTTTTCTTCTTATTCTTCTTTTTCTTCTTTTTCCCCTCCTCTTCATCTTCTCCTCCTCTTCTCCTCCTCCTCCTTTCTCTTCTTCTTCTTCTTTTTCTTCATCTTCGTCAACTTCTTCTTCTTCATCTTCGTCATCTTCTTCTTCTCATCAGTTACTCCACGAAATGTTGGAGGAAGTGTAAGGATTGTCTGTGTGCTCTTCTAACGTTTTGTGTAAGTTTGTCTTCACTTATCTAAGGTTGTTCTTTATGCCGTCGTTCTATATTTTTGCATGATCTTCCCCTCATCATTATCATCAACCTCATTATCAACGTCATCACCATCCAGAAACACCTCGTGTCGTTGGGTCACCAGATGTCTGTCTGATCAACTCTCTCCACCCTTGACGGCCGGATGACGATAGACGTCATGGCTGTACGCATGAGGTCTGTCCAGTCAGTCAAGTTTTGTATCCAGGTTATTTTTTTTTTGCCTACCCCTTCTCCTCTAGTGGGCCCTGTAGTATTGATTTTGAGCCTAATACAGCGAAAACTGGTTCATAGTTGCTAATGTGCTGAATAATTATACGGTCAACTTCAAGGTTCCCCCTGCTGCTTTTTGTTGTATATGTTATTTGCAACGTGGCCCTCTGTGGTATTTATTACCCTGTCACTCTAACCCAGTGGTCTCCAACTTTTTTTCAGGTCGTCTCCCTCCCCCACTCCCCTTAAGTATATGACAAGACCTCCCCACCCCCACCCTTCTTTCACACCCCCCCCCCCCCAAAAAAAATATTCGAATAGAAAGAGGTGGACAATCGATTCTGCCACAGGGAGGAGAGGGGTGGTGGTGTCTGACAGTATGGAGATACGTTTTGGTCAGAATGTATTTTTAGTCTATAATCAAATGCTTGTGTTGCCATACTAATTACATTTTGACCTGCAGATATACAAACTGCCTATGAAAACAAATCAAAAGTCCTTTGCTTTTTGTTTTATAAATTAAAAAAAAATGATTATGTTAGTTTAAACTTAAACTGAAATTCTAAAACGGATTATTACAAATACAACTGCTCCCATTTTCAAAACTGCTTGACGCAGCCCCCTCCCTTTTGAAACAGTCTCCCGCCCCCAGGAAACGCGCCACCCAAGTTGGAAACCACTGCTCTAATCAGATGGTCAAGCCGAATGTAGAATTGCCAAGTAAAATTACAAAACAGCAAAACAAAATTCAGGGGTTGGTAAAAAGACTTTTTCAGCAATGTCACCAAACGAAGAAATAGGATGGACGTTACTGCAGCGATATGTGTTGTGTGCGGGGTTGGGGAGAGGGGGGGGGGGGGGGGACAATAAAGGTTCTAGCGCATATGAATTCATGAAAAGAACTGATTACTTACATGAGAATTAGATGATGTGCATTAAGTGGTTAAGCCAAAAAGAAACAGACAGACAGGCAGGCAGGCAGGCAGGCAGACAGACACAGACAGACACAGACAGACACAGACACAGACAGACACAGACAGACACAGACAGACACAGACAGACACAGACAGACACAGACAGACACAGACAGACACAGACAGACACAGACAGACACAGACAGACAGAGACAGACACAGACAGACAGACAGACAGACAGACAGACACAGACAGACACAGACAGACACAGACAGACACAGACAGACACAGACAGACAGACAGACAGACAGACAGACAGAACTAATAACAAGACACACGAGTTCTGCAGTTGTGACAACTCGGTCACCGTAAAACTCAACACTCAGTCCCTCATCCAACAGTTTGTGTGCCTTGTCAGCGACCCATGTCGTTCTTGAACGAATTTATCCCTTAGCTCACCACCCGTAGATCCCTTATCTTTTCTTTCGTAGATCCTTTATCTTTTCATCGTCTGCATTCCCGGCAGACTTGTGCGAACCGTTACTGGGAAAGCTGGTAGGTGAATGTAAGAGAACAGGAAATGCGGAACAATAGGAGAAGGATGTTTCTGGATAGAGATCTCAGTTTCTGTTATAATGTTCCCTCTGCAGGTCTAAACACGTATCTTTAGGCTCAGTGGTTCTCAGTTTGATAAGTTTAGGACACCCTTCTGAGTTTCTGTTATAACGTTCTTCAGCTAGTCTAAACACATATCTTCTGGCTCACTAGTTATCAGCTTGAAAACTTTATGACATCTTTCTGTACCTTAGTTGGGGGAAGGAGGTGTGTGTGTGTGTGTGTGGGGGGGGGGGGGGGCGATTGTTTGGGAAAGGGCGTGAGGGAATTTCAAAGGCAATGCGCAGTTTTTAAATTGAGTACACTTGTACTTGTAATAATCCAGATTTGTAGCTTTAACAGTCATGAAAAGAAAATAGCGTTGCTAGCTTGATATGGAGTGTGATTCTCTGATGTGCCTTGTCCGACATCAGCAAGGCAAAACAGTTTCAAATGTTTGTCTCCACATTTTTGTTAACAGTACTGGGGATTTTTTTGGGTAGTTGTGTGTGTGTGTGTGTGTGTGCGTGTGTGTGTGCGTGTGCGTGCGTGTGTATGTGTCCTCCTCTTTGTAGACAAGAGGATGTTCGTCTTATCTTTTCCCGAACTTTTTGCGTGTACATTGAAAAAAGAAATAGATTTTGCTTACTTGTATGCAGACTGTTGGTTCATTGGATCTCAGGCAGATGTACTCCGACTTCAAAGGTAACACCCATAACAAGTCGACAATTACGGCATGCTTGTTAGGGGGCAGTGGGTATATTCTTATATTACGATCTATTTGGGCCGGAAATCGTTACTAGAACCCATTAATTATAACTTCCGTGAAGGTTGAACTGCCTTACGCCCTACTGGATGGTAATTTAGAATTCGACTTCTAAAGTCCGTGGCTTAGGAGTTGCGAGTCCGACTCATATTTCCAATGGACCGCCATCGAAACCCACTGCTGCATTTTTATAATGGTATGGGACGCTGCAGGTCGACCCAGCCTCAAATGGGTACCCAGATGTATGTCCTGGGGAAGTAAAGACACCCGTCGTAACGATGACCACATAAAACACCTACTGCCAGTTGGTTTGTAAAAATATGGTGCTCTTCTCACATGCGCCATGCGCCTAAAGGCGTGAAAAGGGGTATTTACTTTTTGTTGTTGTTGTTGTCGGCTCTGTGGCTAAGTCGATGCGAACGCTTCGCTTCGTAATGCCGGGATGCTAGGTTCGATCCCAGCTGCGGGCAATGCCCCTTGCGTTGGTTTCGACAGTAGTATAAAGAAAGCCGACCGTCCAGTAAGCAATGGCAAACTACTGGATGTAACTTGCCTAGAGAAACCACACAACAGCCAGGGGCTGTTGGGGTTGGTTATGCAACGTCCTGTAAAGGATACGCAACTAACTTTTAGTAACTCACTAAAGTTTCGGAGATGCTAAAATCATCCAGCAGTCGACAAAAGGTGGGAAAACGAACAGCCGGGAAAACAGACAGCAAATTATTCCCTTCTGACCCGAGAGTTACCTGGAGTAGATCAGCTTTATTGCACTGGGTTATCCTATATGGCAGAGGTTCTCAAACTGGGTGCCGCTGTACCTGGAGTGCCGCGAGAGTATGCAAGGGGTGCCGCGGCAATAATCAAGAAAAGTCGGCTAGAAATTTTGAAATTTTTACAGAAAACCTGCTGATACTTTAAAGTTAAAATTCAAGTTCTTCTCTTGTCACTATTGTAAAGAGTTTAATATTTGTTTTAAACTCAGACGTGTTTCGTATTACATAAAGTGTCAATCGCAGCGTGCTAAGATTGTCTTTGTATTTATCTTTAGATGCGAAGTATCCTCTATCTGAATTCGTTAAGGTGCAAAAGAGATGGTTAAATTTTTAGTGAAATTTTAAGGTGGGAAATTTGGTCTGTATAATGGTAACTGTTAGCCTGATCAAGTAAGTACTTATTTATAGGTAATGTGTTCTTTTGGTGCTGTGTGTGCGTGCGTGCGTGCGTGCGTGTGTGTGTGTGTGTGTGTGTGCATGATCATGCAATTTTGCATTCCAAATCTGATTTGAGGATATTGCTAGCGAGAATATAAAGGTCTGTAAAAGCTTAACGAATGAGGAATGAAAGGCGAATTTGATTGCATTCGTTCGTGTCATCTCATTAAATACAACTGAAAAGTAAATTTGCACATGTTTCTTTTCTTTTTTCCTAAGTACCCGCTTTGAGGGTAGGTGTACCGCGAAATTTTTTTAGCCCGACAAGGGTGCGAAAAAAAAGTTTGAGAACCCTTGCTAAATATAAATAACGTGTTCGTGAAACAAACACACGACCTCAAGAGTTCGAGGCGAACGGCTTGGCCATTTCGCAACGAAGACATCTTCCAGAACCGAAATTTGATCCATAGCAAGCACGTCGTACGATGAGACTAATTAGGGGTGTTTCCTTAAAGTCTGAGTGCATCTGCCTGAGAGTTGAGAAACCAACAGCCTGCATACAAATAAGTCAAATCTGTGAAACATATAAGCGTGCAAAATTCAAGTTCTGGAACAGAATCAGTCCAGAAAAAGACGAAAAATCGTAACTACACACCGCAGTTCACAGACAGTGAACGCGAAGAAAAAGAAAATTATTTATTTCCATTGTATTAAATTGCATCATCTTTGTCATTATTATCTAACTTTTTCTTTATCAACCTTTCTGTTCTGAAAACAAAAATTATCTCCAGCTGATTAGTGTTCCAAACATACTCAGGGCCTGCTGCACATGTAAATGTAGTCCGTTTCCAAAGTCTTGACCTACTTTTAAAAAGCTAGCTCTGTAACCATTAGGTGAAAGTTGTTGAGGTTTGGCATGCAACCCGTTAATAATCAAGTCCTAGTAGGAATATTTTTATTAATGGAAAACACACACACACACACACACATACAAACACACAAACACCCAAAGAAGACTTAATGCGAATAATCATCATGCTTACAGTTAATTGAGGAGGGCAAACTTTTTAAAACTTCAAATTGCAGGCGTCTCATAGGCATTTCCCTCCCAGATGGTCATCTCCATGACTAGACTCTCGTGTTTTAAATGAACGCAATTTTTCATTGTATGCGGGATAGGCTATCAAAATAATTACCACGCATCGCTGCTCGTGGACATTTATTTCTAAACAACCTCCAGGCCTGTGTCAGTTATTGCATAATCTATTCGTTAGGGGTACACACATATTTATGTCAAACAAAGATAAAAGAAATTCGTCGCTTTAAGGAATTAGCAGTACCTGTTCATTTGTAACTTATAAAATCACAAGGACACAGAAGATTTAAAGCTACATGCACAAATGCAAGTTGATCTATACAGGAGTTTCCCAGATATTTGTTGAAGTATCAGGGCACGATTTTTGAAGCGCACTATAGTTGCCAGCTACAAAGCTAAGCCTGCATGCAACGTCTGATTGCCCTAGTCTCTGCTCGACCCCCTGCCTTTCATTCCATCAAGAATATCATCAACATTCCATATCTCGGTAGACACAAATTAGATATGAATGTAATGTTACATGTCTCGGCGTTGATTTCTTTTCCTTCAGGCTTTCTCGTTCAACGGTTCTCACATTCTTATCGGAATAAAAAAAAAACTTAAAAAAAAACAAGATATAACGTCTTTTAAAAAAAAATTATTGAAGTAAAATATCAGTTTACTTATTTAGGTACAGTCATATAAACACAACTATATAAATCATGACATAAATTATGACATGCTTAAAAGATCACAGAGCAGAGTCAGACCAAGAGAAATTATGGTAGATGGCTTAAGACAGTGGTATGGAGGAATATCATCAGTAGAATTGATCCAGAACACCAAAGACCGAGATCTGTGGAGATTCATGCACGCCTACGCCAGCTGTACTTGAGGATGAGGACTGACAAGACATCGGCAGCCACTGAAAGCTTAAACAAAATATGGAACTCAGAACTATATAATTTTAGAACCAAGTAACGTATTTTCTATTCTAATGATATTTCAGTTTTAACATATGCCAGTGAAACGTTTGCAGAACTACTACAGATATGGAACGAAAGTTTAAGGCATTTGAACATAAATGTCTTAGGAAAATGATGAACATAAAATGGGATACATTCAAAAGGGGTAAAGAAATAAGAGAAATATATGGACAACCACTAGTATTAACAGTTATAAGACAGAGAAGATGGCGCTACACTGGAAACATACCGAGTAGGAACGAGCAAATAATCACCAAAACAGGCACTAAAATTTGTAATAAAGGAATAAAGAAGGCGAGGACGTCCAACAGAAACCGTGAAAGGAACCTTGATGAGGGAGGCCAACGCTGCTGGACCGGATTACATCCATGATATTGCATGGATTGTAGAGGATGGAAGGGAATGGAGGAGTGGACTGCCAGCCCTATGTGACATATAATATCACACAATGTGTATGATTTTACATACATATATATATATATATATATATATATATATATATATATATATATATATATATATATATATATATATATATATATATATATATATCTTCCATATTAATAAAAATGTTAATTTTCCGATGTCGTTTTTCCTAAACTCGGAAACTACTGAACCGATTGCTTTAAAATTTTCACACAACGTTGCCTTTGACTCCAAGTGTGACTTTTTGTCAGAAAATCGCACAAACCACGAACGAAGTAGCTCCAGCAACGGTCAAATCAATATTTGTTTCGTTGCCGGACCGGATTTGTTTTTATGTGATCGGCCATATTTGACTGCTGAGCTTTTATTGAACTTTGCATTATTATATAATTTCATTTCCACTAAATACTTGAGTGTTTGGTAGCGTAGTTGTTAACTGTTCCGCCTATCATGCAGGGGACCCGTGTTCGATTCCCCGCTAGGTGATATAATTTTCTTTAGCCTTTAACTGGGCGGCTGGCACGTTGTGTTGTGGTTTATGACTAGGCCGCGATGTCTACGCCTTTTTCGTTTTTGGGGTTTACAGCTAGCCTGCGACAGGGGCGACAAGATGCTCAATGGTCATGACACAAGTAATCTTCGTTCGCCCTCGAGAGGGCCGTTGGCACGTTGTGTTGTGGTTTACAGCTAGGCTGCGATATCTAACCTAAACTCTTCAGTCGTTCGGTAGTAAAGTTGTAAGTATGACATCCTTCACTCGGGTGACTGGTGTTCAATTCCCTGCTTTGTGATAATTGTTCTTTTTTCCCTAAAAGGGTGGTTGCCACGTTGTGTTGTGGTTTACAGCTAGGCTGTTATATCTACACCTTTCGCCCTGAGACATACGATTTCAGTTAAGTCCTAATTAGCCTCCCCGCGACGCTTCTCGATCAAAAACTATTCGACGATGACAGAAACTGTTAACCAAGATGGCTTACAGTCCAGTTTAGTTCGGGTGGATGCCAAGGTCAGTTAAAAATCGTTCCCTCGGAGAGGGAGAGATGATGAGTGCGGGGTATTTTTCTCCCCTATTCGTAAGTATATTGTACTTTTCACTTTAGGTTCCATCACTGGTTTCGTGATGAAGTTTTTTCCCCCTATGTCCAGGGCAAAATCAAACTAAATAGTCCGTGGCGACAGCATGCGGCGCTAACACCTCTTTTCTACACCGACCTACACAGACTGTAGTGACAGTTTTTGTTGTTGTTGTGACGGTGGTTGTGATGGTGGTTGTGGTTGCAGTAGTACTGGTACTGGATAGGTGATGTGGTAGCTGTTACACTAGCTACATTTACTTCTCTATACAAGTTAATGCTACCTATTTAAGTCTGAGTAGACACGTATGCAGAGCTCAATTTAGTTACAATATTTCATTACACGATGACTTAAAGTTCTCATTTCTTAACTATTTCTATTTTTAAAAAATTCGCCAGGTGATGATTTTTCAATCCTTCGGAGAGGGAGATATGATGTGTGTGGTGTGTGTTTGGGGGGGGGGGGTGTATGCTGGACACAGTTAGCTGAGAGAGCTTAAAATATTATTTTAAAGTTCTCATTTCTTAACTGTTTCTATTTTAAGGAGAGGGAACAAGCTAGAAAATCATAAATTATGCAAGTTTTTCCTGATGGTTTAATATATCTTAATATGGTCAGATCTTTATGAAATTTTGCAAGGACCTTCCTTATCTATCATAAAAACAATAAATCTCAGAGAAATAAAGTTAGGTATGTTCATTTCATACTTATTTCCATCTGATGAAGGTATATATATATATATATATATATATATATATATATATATATATATATATATATATATATATATATATATATATATATATATATATATATATATATATATAAGTGATGAGAACATTTGTTCCAGTAGCGTTTTCAGTCCTGCTAAAACACTTCTCAATGTATGGAGCTGAAAGTTTGTGTAGCTGTTCAGATATGGTTAAGCTATAATCTGAACCTCTGTCATCTCTGTATCTGTGTTAGGTATTCTTATATTAATGTCTAAAATTTTTCTAAAGTTTCATAAAATCATAACTCAAGTTAAATGCTGACCTCAAGTGTTGGGCCCTTAAAAATGGCGTGTTTCAAACAACATCTATTGAAGAGCATGTTCTCCACATTTCTTTAAATTTGGCCCAATAGTTTTGAAATTATCCTGATAACAGTAACACACATGTGCGAAAACATGATTCTGAGAAAACGGCCTTGAAAGTTTTAACACACTGAAAATGTCAGTCAGTCCATCCTATCTGGCACAAAAGCACATAATAATTTGTGTGATGTCCCAAGATGTGAACTATGAAGTGAAATTAACCTAGACTACTCGTGGGCACCAGCAAGGTAAAAATCCTCTTTGTCTTTGCCATGCATGACAGCAGCTATTCTCCGCGCTTGCCGTACACTCGGTGATAATCTTTTAGCTGCTGAGTTTATTCTTCTTGTTCGATCCAGCTCACTGAAACAAAGTCTGGTATAGAGTCCACTAGGCATCCCTAGATTCTCAAATATAGGTATCCTACCCCTCTCACCATCACTGAAACAAAGTCTGGTATAGAGTCCACTAGGCATCCCTAGATTCTCAAATATAGGTATCCTACCCCTCTCACCATCACTGAAACAAAGTCTGGTATAGAGTCCACTAGGCACCCCTAGATTCTCAAATATAGGTATCCGACCCCTCTCACCATCTATGAAACAAAGTCTGGTATAGAGTCCACTAGGCACCCCTAGATTCTCAAATATAGGTATCCTACCCCTCTCACCATCTATGAAACAAAGTCTGGTATAGAGTCCACTAGGCACCCCTAGATTCTCAAATATAGGTATCCTACCCCTCTCACCATCTATTAAACAAAGTCTGGTATAGAGTCCACTAGGCATCCCTAGATTCTCAAATATAGGTATCCTACCCCTCTCACCATCTATGAAACAAAGTCTGGTATAGAGTCCACTAGGCATCCCTAGATTCTCAAATATAGGTATCCTACCCCTCTCACCATCTATGAAACAAAGTCTGGTATACAGTCCACTAGGCATCCCTAGATTCTCAAATATAGGTATCCTACCCCTCTCACCATCTATTAAACAAAGTCTGGTATAGAGTCCACTAGGTATCCCTAGATTCTCAAATATAGGTATCCTACCCCTCTCACCATCATTAAAAACAACAGTAGCATCATAAACTGCAAGAGTTAGTCTTGGCCTTCCAACAAATCCAGTCTTTGGGCATCTCTGCCAAATGGAATTATGAAAACTCTCATTTGTGTTTTGTGTCCCTCCATGAGCACACTTTGACAGTAAGGTCTCACTGGTGAACGAACGAACGAACGAACGAACAAACTTTATTTTCAAAGGGTTAAGAATTCGGCACGCAGGCCCGTCTAACATTCTGCCCTTCCACTCCGCTCCTTACATACAATGCTTCATTTTTACCTCATTTCATAGTTAATAATAATAATAATAATAATAATAATAATAACAATAAAAAGAGGAATGCACAATTAAAATTTTTTAGAAATATAGAAAAGAAACAAAAGAACAAAAAAAAAAAAAAAAAAAAAAAAAAAGAGAAGAAAAAAAATTACAATATCTAAGTCTTAATTACAAATGCTGGAATGTGCACCTAATTTATATTCACATTACTTGAACGTTTTAAAGAGTATAATGATAAGCCTGTTCCAGAAATGATGTAAGTCTTACAGGCTGCATAATATAAACATCATCAAAACCAATTAAATATTAGTTACAAATATTGGAATGCATTCGACTGACATCTTTAGTTTTAAACAACAATAAGCTTCAGTTTTCAACCCCCACCAAGTTGCCCGACCCCCCCCCCCCCATCCCCGACCCCCCCCCCCCCAAAAAAAACGTTAATAAAAAATATATGAAAGCCTTAACATACTATAATCTTTTTAGGGGAGCATATAGTCTGTAGTGAGATAATATTCAAATAGTTTCCGATTGTATCTAAATGGGTTATTGATATTTTTTATTTCCGGTGGAAGATTATTCCACAGCTGAGCTGCAGAGTACGCTAAGCTTGTTTTATATAGGTCTATTCTAGGTTTAGAGATATGCAATATGTTAAGGCGTTTGCTATGTCTTCCATTGTATTTAAATAATGGCCAAAGGTAACATGGAGCATTTTTAGATATGATTTTCTTAATAAGTTTAGCTTTATTGAATAGTAGGCGTTCCTGGAGCGGTAATAGCATGAGTTCTTTATATATGTGTGAACAGTCACTTTCATGACTATTAGCTATTAAACGAACAGCCCTTCTGTGTAGTGCTTTCAGCCGTTTGATGACTGAATTTGCACACCCATCCCATATTGTGGAGCAATATTCTATATGGGTCTGAATATGAGAAGTATAGAATAATTTCCTAGAGTTTTCATCCAGAAAGTTTTTAATTTTTGCTAGCTGGTATACCTTTGTAGCAGTTTTTTCAAAGACAGGTCTGATGGCCTCACACACATAGGGAGGGAAAACATTTCTGTCAGTATCTGCTGCAGGCTGATTCTTGGCAGGGCACCAATCTCCACAGTTGATATGGTCACGGTTTCTGTGCTGCCATATGACCCAGATATATTTTCGCATCTGAGGCACATTGCTGGTGTTTCTTCGAATAGCAGCACCGTAGTGTCCTTGAATCTTTAGGATTGACTTTTTCGTGAGACAACCCCTCCCGCCAATTTCTCGAACACTCTTGCCATTGTGCATAAACGTCTCCTTCTTCGGCTCATTTACCTTATTTGTAAGTTGTCGCCCCATTCTCTTCTGCACATGCCCACAACATTCTAGTTTTGTAATACCCACATCAGTATACACAGGTGGTTCTGCATTTGCAACTGATGTGTATGATTTACTGTCTCCATCTCCAAGAAAAGAAACATAGCGCAGACCATAGAACTGCTCACTTCGCCTGAACATTTCCAATGCTCCAGTTGGTTCCATGCTACCTGCAGATCCACTGTGGTTCTTATCACAATTCTGAGCATGAGAAAGCTTCCATGTCTGGAACTCAGCCTCAGTTTTAGTCTTCTTATGTTTTGCACAAAGGTTGCAATAATTACTGAAAACTGCATTGTCAAGAACTTTTGAGTTAGGCCCATCCACGGTGAGAAGAGTGACCAAACCATTTTTGCTCTGGAACCCCCTTCTCTGCCATGTGCCATCACAGGAGACTGTTATGGCTTCTCCTTTTGCAGAGGACATAAATTAAACTTTTTGTTGACACTGACAGTGGAAAGTGAACGTCGAGGCAAGCGAGCTTCTTTCTTCAGTTACAAAGGACTTGTTCTCGCCAAGAGGTTGCCCACACTGACTGCACAATAAAGTATCTATAAAGTTAATAAGAAGCTGAACGTCAACAGATCGAAAACCAGTGAGCTCTTCCGCTGTATCAAACTCAGTCTGCGAGGTGAGAGGTCCTAGTTTGATTTTACAAGCAGACGTAGATGGTCGGTTTTTATCATCCAAGCCACTTATTTCATTACTTCCAGCTTCTTGTTCGTGTTTGTCGGAGTACTGATTGCCGTGAAAAGAAGGTTTTCTTGGTCTGTAGCTTCTGTTTATCTTTCTTTTGCCCATAATTATACAGTTTGTTGTCTCAACCGTAAAAATGACTTCCGTGCATAACAACAAACGAGTGTTACCACTTTTCTTTGACAAAAGAATATCCAAAACGGTGTCAAAAATATCTAAAAAGATCTAAATCTGCGTGGAAACTATCTAGAAAAACATCCAAATTGAAAAAGTCAAAAATTACTTAGCTTTTATTATGACTTACCCTACATAATCATGTCCTCACCTTCACTGATGTCTGCCTCACAAGATCCACATGATAAACTTAGCTTGGATAATGAAGTTGAAGCTGAAGATCCAAAATGACCCTGGTATGCTTTAGCTGTTCAAATTTCTTTATGTGGAACAGTAGGCTTATTTCTCTAGTCTCATCAGGCCGAATTTTAATGGCACGATAGCATTTAGGAGGTCAAATTTCATCCTGTTTTTTTTTTAGGTTAGATTTGATATAATTCCTAGCACTCTTTCTACGTCAACATTTGAGTGGGGTAGTATTATGGCAGACATGGCACTTTAAAGAGCTTACAGAATGGACTGTTTGATGAGGCATCTTTAAATTGTCTCACTTCACTCCAAAACGCTTTAGTTTCTGTTTTGTTTGTCCATTCAGCTAACTTTATTTTGGTTAACTGATATTCTGCTTCCGCGACACTATTATCAGTAGCCCCTAAAAATTTCATAACTTTACAATATTTAGGTATGTCCTTTATTAGCTGAAGTATGTTGCTCACAGAAAAAGGTGAAATATTTTTCAAAACATCTAGATTTTCAGGAAGTCTCTGCTTCAATTGCTTCAATAATGAGATAAGGAAATCTGGACAGCGTTTTCTTAAGTTGTTCTTTTCATTCTTTGTTAACAGTCCTTTTGTTTTTAAATCATCAATTTTTGATTCGATTTAATATCCAATGTGTGGCTTAGGAGCCAAATAGCTCTCTATAGTGCAAGTGAGCAAATCAGCTTTACAAGTTGGCAACACCAGTCTTTTACCGAGTGAAATAGCAAGGTGAGATCATCAAGTAATTTAACTTTATCAACAAGTTTAGATTCGAACAGTTTATTAACTTTTTGCACTTCCATTAAAATAAGTTATAAAAAGAGAATAAATGACAAATTTTTTTCATCACTGTACATTCCATATAGTATTTCAGCTGAATAGCACTTTTCACTTTGTCTTGTTATTTCAAACTGTGTCTTCAACTTCAGCCATTGCTTCATAATTCTTTCAACAGCTGGTTAAATTGATAACCATCTAGTTTTGCAATCTGACAGAATTTTCGGTGGTGTGGAACCATCATTCAAGGATGTATATAATGTATTGTATTGCTGTTGTCTGACAAATGATTTGGAAAACCAGTAAAGTGTTTCAAGAATAAGGTATTCCAAATTCCTTGGTAAATATTTAGATGAAGCATGTGATAATGCTAGCTTTAATGAATGACGCATACATTTTATAAGTATTAACGATGGGTTAGCTTCCTTCAACTTGGCATAAACGCCACTGTTTATACCAACCATCACTGGGGCATTATCAGTACCAATTACAGCCAAATTATTCAAGCCTGTTTGCTGATTAAAAGGTTCTTCAGTTCCTAAACTATACTTTCTACATCACACTTTTCAAATTGAACTAGTCCAAGAATTTTTTACAAATCGATCAAATGGTCACAGTTTGAAATTGCTCAGTGACAAATTAAAAACATTGCGACTGATACTTCAACTTTTGATGATTCATATATCAGTATAGTTCTGAAAATAGATGTCAGCGGTGTAATATCTTTAAAAGAAACTGCAGTTTTATGCTTTTTTAGTCTCTGCATGACTCTTTGAGTTTTGTATTTTCGCTTTAATTTCACACTTGCAGTACTTACAACAAGCTTTGGTCATTTCCCAGTTTTTTATTTTGTCATCGTGCAACCACTCTTTCTAAATTTTTTGCTCATACTTTACTTTTGGCACGTTGAAAGGTTTTTTCAAAGTGAAAGCCACATAAGAAAGTGAGCAAATATTTTTTTTAAATCGCATGAAAAAGAAACGCAAAGTCAGCACAGTGAGGATACGGTTGAAACAAAGTTAGTATGATTTACGCGCGTTTTATTAATCAGTACCGGGGCTGCCATATATTTGTGCGTTGACCCCAGTGAGAGTTCAAAGTTCAAGTAATGGCAGTTGTCACAATGTACGCGCCAGGCCAAAACAAAAATATTGTAGTAAATATTTTACACAGTAATTATTAAATTTACAATAAAAGAAAAAAAATCTATAAAATATCTAACTCAAAATGAAAAGAATCTAGAAAAATATTTATGATCTAAACGTCAAAAACAGTATCTAAATGCAATGAAAAAGATCTAAATTTGGATATAAAAGATCCAAAGTGGCAACACTGCAAAAAACATGCCGGTTAGCGTCACTGGATTGGCTTGGCTTGGCTTTTTACCCCACCAGGACATCACACAAGCGATAAACACCCGATGACACAATGTGCCACCATGCGGATGAGGATCACCCTTGGAGAGGTCCCAGAAACCGCGTTCAGACATTTGGCCATAATGATGACCTGCCTATATTGCGGCCCCTGGCAAAAGCCAGAGTGGGGCTTCAAAAAACAAAAAATAACGTCTTAACTGTGCGAGAGGCCTTTTTGTATGAGACGAGTGCTCTGATTAGCTGGATAAAGCATTTCCTCAAGAAACGGACCAATGAAAATTTGTCTT